GTCTACTCTACCCAATAAAGAGCAATTATGATCTAACAGGGTTCGTAGCGGTCCTTACAAGTGCTTATAAGTCCTTATATTTGAAAATAAAATATAAAGTCCCTTATAGGTGCTTACTTTTTCTTTAAAGCCCTTATTGTTGTGCTTATTTTTTGCTTTTAATGCTTTTTTTAATGAACGCTCATTTTTACCCCGTACCAAAGCCGAAATTAAATAAACAACTTTTCTTCCTTATATGGAACGTCAGATGGTGAATCATACTCCCGGACCCCCTTTCTTTGCATTAACATAACCTATGGTGCGTGCGAGAGTACAAACAGGTGCACGTTGTTCTATTGGTCTAAGAATTGTGAAAATTGTAGAAAATTCCGGTACATTTAGTATTCTTTTCCTCCCACCCAAATACTACACACGTTTGAATTTCTATCAAGATTTTAATAATTTGCATTCTCGTTCCGCGTGGTCAGTTCATATTTGTGTTTATTATGATCGTTATGCTTATATTATGAGCGTATGTGTGAATATTTATAATAATATAGTTGCAGCTGAAGTGTAGATAAGTTTCCAAAAATGGGTGTATTTTTACACAGATTAGCTTTCTAAGGAATAATATTCAGAATATCTTAAATAAAAGGAAAGTAATCAAATAGTCAAATTTTTGCAATGGGGGGGGGGAACACCGCTGCCCGCTATGAATTGGAAGTTGATCTGTCAGCACTATCCTTATCTTCAGGGCAGATGTTTTTATTTTATTTGGCTTATAATTCCTTACTAAATGTAGTATTTCATCTCGATGTACTCCATCTTTGATAGGATTTAAATCAAATTCCTCGTCATTATAATTTGCTTCCGATAGTGAAGAAAGTGACACAGAGGTTATTGAAAACGAAAAAATTTCGATTGACAAATTAGTCGGTATTCTTGACACAGCAATTATAGGACATGAACAGCGGAACTTTGTAACTGAACAAGAAATTATGTCTGTTTATCGAATTAAAGAGAAAATATTATCACATGAAACTAAGCCATATTACTACCTAAATTTTTGTCTACATTTTGAACTTTAAGCCTAAAATGTCTGCAAAAACGTGATTTTCACACGTGGCAAAAAAAAAAAAAAAAAAAAAAAAAAAACATTTTAAACAAACAATTTAAGCTAAAAATCCGAAACAAAAATAAAAAATTTAGATAGCAAAAATGTAGTTTCTAACCAAAAATATTTGAGAAGAATCCATGTACATAGCAATGTGTTTTAACTTAAAAAATATATCACAGAATTGCACTATCTATGTAGCGAAGAAATCTACGAACTATGCACACCTAGCTTAAATAAATTAACATAACAACAATAAATTTCAAAGAATACCATGTGCACAGTGTTCTGTTTAAACTTTAAAAAAAATCTACGAATTGCACAATCTAGGCAGCGAAGGAATCTACGAGCTACACACAACTCGCTTTATTAAATTAACATAAGAATAAATTTCAAGAATACCATGTACACATCATTCTGTTTCAACTTTAAAAAACATCTACGAATTGCGCAGTAATCAACAAAATAAACTAAAAAAAATTTCAAACAATTCAAAAAAAAAAAAAAAAAAAAAAACGACAGAAATACAATGAACATAACATTCTACAAAATAAGAACAAGAATAAAATAAAATGCACTTACCATGAATGAATGCTTCTTCGAACAACAGAAATACAGTACAAAGTCTTTAATCTGGACCTCAAAGCTACAATGCGTAGTCTTTACGCATGCGCATAATACGTTTATGCATGCGCGTTTAATGTATAATGGACGGTAAAAGCTAGGCTAAAATTATCTAATTATCTATTTCAGTTAATGTTGCAGATTGTGTTGTTATTTAATGTTCTAATTGGATCCGGCTTATTATTTTTTTTCAGACTGTTAGAGCAATTTTATAAAACGTAAGCTTGAACTTTCGATTATGTCAAAAAGAGTTTCCGATTCTGGAGCTGCCAAAGGATCTACAAAGCGAAAGCATGTTTCGATGTCCATCAAACAAAAAGTGGAATTGCTGCAGAAAATGGATAACGGCATGAAGAAAGTGACAGAGAGGTTAGTGAAAACGAAAAAATTTCGATTGACAAATTAGTCGGTATTCTCGACACAGCAATTATAGGACTTGAAAAGCGGAACTTTGTAATTGAACAAGAAATTATGTCTGTTTATCGAATTAATGGAGTTTCTCACAAAAAATGTTTGGCGAGCAATTTATCACCAACCGAGGGCGTAGTTCCGAAATTACAAGAACAGATGTGTGGTCCAAAAACAGATGTGAGCCACCGTAATTATAGAAGTAAAGTAGATTTACTTTGGAGATGGTCTTAAATGTTTTTAAAAGTAGTAAAAATTCCAATTGAGATGTATGAAAATCTGTCAGTTGGAGATGATCAAGATGTTTATTGGTCATCTAACCAAATTTATTTAAAGTGCTGCTGTGTATTATTTGCAGTGATGCTTTATGAAATTTCTAGATTCATTTTGGCTACAGAATATAGTTTTAGTTTATTTTTAGCATAGCATGGTCTGTGTTAAAACACAATAATGACTTTGAAATTGAAGTAGCTGATAAAAGTTCACAATTAAGTGCTCCTTGTTTTTTTTTTTTTTTTTTTTTTTTGCGATTCTTTTTTGACGCCAAAATTAATGTGAGAAAGGCACAATTGCAAGATGGCCGCGACAGAACACCAAAATAAGAGGTTAAAGAATTTCACAAACTTGGTGTCCATGTATACATAGCTCTATTTTCACTTAAAAAAAAAATATCAGAGAATTGCACAAACTACACATTGCGCAATACCTTAACTTTGTCTATATATACATTGATGTATTTTCACTTAAAAAAAGTCAGGAAGCTAAAATAAAGTTAAAACTGTCATGGTAACTAGAAATGGCATTTGATCGCCAAAACTGAACAAAATTTGTCGCTAATCAAAGGGCCACCCAATTCTACAGTAGAGCCAAGTTGCTATGTAGAGTTTTCTTGGGGGTACAATAAATCTGTGAAAATCAGTATATCATCATTGGGAATAGATCTTAAGATCTTTCATGTGATTACTGGGATATGCTGATAGTATACCTCAAAAACATATTGGGATGGGGAGAATGAGTTTAATTCCTACATTCATAATAACATTGAGTTGCCAAATCTCCCAATTTACAACATATTTCTCCCAACTTTCTCTTAAAATTTCTCATGTTTTTTATATAGCTGGCCAACAATTAAACAAAATAATTCATTATTTACACACACATGCACCCCCCCCAAAAAAAAAGATTTGTGGCCTATGTAAATACATGGTTTTTCTCTAGATCACATATGAATGAAAGCCAAAGTTGTTTCATCAGTGAGACATTATTGTGCCCTTTTGCTTTGTGTATGAGAGCACATGTATCCAAAAACATTCTGTTCCATTTCTCCATTGAGTATCAAATGCTGCTCAGCTGGCCACTGAGTACTGTGAGTTTCACATGCTTTTAAAGAATTATTTTAAAACATTGTGATTCTGCAAGAAAGTTAAAATATTTATGTACCTTTCAAAAATCATACACAGATGACTTCCCTTCTATTATTTTGCCAAAAATATTAATGCATTTGGAATGTTCACCATTTGTAATTGCAATTTTTTATTTCACACGGTGGAAGGGCTGATGTTCTTAAACATGTGCTTACACAAAAACTCAAGGACAATGTCAGTTGTATTGAAAAAAACAAAAAATTCTTCTGCCTTAAAAAGGACCAAAAAGTCATAATGCTAAATGCCTCTTCTCTGCCTTTTTTACTGGAGCACAGTGTGCCTCTGAATACATGGGATCGTGCTACAAGCTTTATTTAGAAAATTGTTTCCTGATAATGAAATCTCTAAGAAATAGCCAAGTATGAGGACAAAACCAGCTGCAGTTGTTAAAGAAATAGGTGTGAAAAATAAATCTTTAGTTATTGATTGCATTAAAACAACTCTCATTCTGCTTCCATATGAATGAAAGCAATAGTACCGATGTAAAACTCTATCCAGTTGTTTCTTTTTTTAATCAAGAGATTTCAGAAGTTGAATTTTTATATTTTCTTTCTCCACTTTAGGAGGAGACTAGACAAGCTTTAATATAGGATAGCTAATTTTTAAAACTCTAAAGAAAATGCAATTTCTCAGGATAATTAGTTAAGCACTTGGTGCCAACAATGCACCACTAATGGTAGGTTTAAAGACTGGTGATGTAGGTGTTTGAAAGAAAAAGAAAATTCAGATTTTACAAATTATGAGTTGTCCATGCCTTTCATCTCTTAAATTTAGCAAACTGAAAAGGCTCAGCTTCTTTACCAGTAAATGTGAACACATAATTGATTTCTTTTCCTTGAAAAGAGTTATTAAAAAAAAGGAAAAATGAAACAATTCCAACAGCTGCATATTACTGAAATAAGAAAATGCTTGAAATATGTATGTACATGCTAGTTATCTTTAGAGAAATGTTTATCTAAAATCCTAGACCAATAGAACTACTTGCATTTAAGAATTAGTAACTGATCTTTCAGACATTAATTACTATTTAAAGTTAATTCATTGTGAAAAAAATATATTTTCTTTCTTTGTATTCTTATCATTAAAAATATTTTTGTTGTTGACAGTGTTCTGATTTCCTAAAAAAGCTCTTACTTTTTACTGTTATAAGTTGGCAAGTATGATAATATATTATTTGATATTAAAGTAAGATGTTCTAAAGTAAGTAAGTAACATCAGTAAGATATTCTAAAGTGCTTATAATGAATATGATACATTATTTTTTTAAAGTATGATTATTATCCATTTTGGGATTTCTACAATTTTGAAAGTTTGTGTGCGACTTTTGAATCATCCTATATAATATTTTTCGAACTTTTTTTTTTTTTTTTTTACAAAATGTACTACTGTATTTTGCTGTATTTGTCATAATTCTGTTGCTGCATTTCATAACAAATATTTATTCTTTTTAGGCAAAATGATGGCATGGGACTCTGATATCAGTCTGAATTTTGAAGTTCAGCCTAAAGAACGAAACAGTATAGGCTTAGAATGTTGGCAAGACATTAAAATTTCTGATATTTGGATTCCGTGCCATGTACTGCTAAGTAGAGGGCAAAATAATGACCAGGATTTGATTACGGTAAGAATTTTATAATCTGTTTAGTTTATAAAAGTAATTGGATATTGATATGAAGTTGAATGCATTGCTACCTTTAAGGAGCAAAGTGGACTTTTAGCTTGAAATCAGAAATTTTTAAATTGGTTTGAATTCAGATTAGAGTATTTTTTCCTTTTTTTAAAAACCAGTTATACATGTTGTTAATATTATTATGGTACATTACATCTTGTAATTATTATTGCATCCCTGCAAGGCATCAAAGGAAATTTTTTTATGATGCCTGTACTATGATTCTAAACTAATGAGTGGACTGTATAGCAAAAGTACTAACTAATTTATTTACATAATTAACTATTCAGATCTAATACATGCCTGGCATGTTGCTTAGCCGAATCCAGATGGCCAATGAGAGTTTCTCTACTTATCCAATAGGTGCGCTGTATTCTAACTTAACATGCCGCGCCGCTTTGAATTACAAATTTCAACATGTAAATTACAAACAAGCATACAATTTAACATTCCAAGAAAACTAATTCTACAATACAATATGAAAGCTAATAGATAGTCTTCATCATGATATAATATAAAATAATATAACATTCATGAACATTAACATCACTAGCTACAATCGAAATTTCTTAAACCGTTACATTTTAATATAAAAGCACAATTTTCAATAAGAACATAATATGTGCTAAGCATTATTATCCTGGATAGGTATAAACAAATTTACTAATACATCGAATATACACACCATTTGATGTTTTCACTTTAACAACTCTGGCCTTATTATCCTTACCAGGTAAATTTCCCATAAGTTGTTCACATACAATTGGTTTAACCTTAAAATATGTTACACATTCATGTACAACCTTTTGAGCTATATCCATTAATAACCCAAAATTTACTACGAACCTGATGCAATAGTGCTTGAGCACCAAGATGTAAATATTTAACATGGTAATACTGAAAAATTAATTCAGTAAATACATGATCTTTTGGCATTACATAAGGAAACTTGGTTGTAATTAGATTACTATTGGCAAGTCTGCTTCCTACTCTCAGAAGAGAATCATTATCTAGAAATGGACATAAAAATGTTAAATTACTTTTGGAAGAAACACAATTCTTATTTTTTAAAGATAGAATATCCTTGCAAAAATGTTGTAACTGTACATACCTGATCAAGATTTTCTCAACGTCATCCAATTCTTTAATAGTTAGAGAAGCTATTAAATTTTTTCTCTTACAATTGGCTATATATCTACAAACAAAACTTAACACACGAATAATACGAATAAGTTATACTAATGTTAAGAATCTGATCTAAAACAGAGTATTAGAGTTTCACTTTAGATTAACTAAGTCATTATCCTTAAGTTTGAGTTCTTTGACACATTCACATCACATCATCCATATCAGATGAATTACTTCAAGGATTAGTCAAAACCTCTCCTTAGTCAAGAAAGTTAGTCACACCACCATAAATCATTATAGAAGATCCTTAGGTTCAACTCCATGTGATATCAAATCAGCTGGATTATTGCGAGTGCTAACATAGTACCACTCATAAACAGTCATACTAGTCATACCAGTCATACTGTGAGTAACAGTCACTGTATTAGCAACAAATGTCTTTAGTTGATGAGGTTCCTTCTTAATCCATGCTAACACTATTGACGAATCTGTGAAATAATACACCTTGTCTGTAGATAGTTGAATAATTCTAATATTCTTTTATAAGTAGTTGATAAGTCTGTTCCACAAAGTCTGCACCACAAAGCTCCAAACGAGGAATTGCAATTGACTTCGATGGTGACACACAAGACATACTGCCCAGAAGTCTTGATGAACATTCATTCGAAGATGGCATACATTTCACATAAATTGCAACACAATAGACTTCCTGACTATCATTGCAGAATCCTATTATTTCTATTTGCTGTAATCCATTGGTTAGAACAAATCTAGGGATGTAATAATCGTTGACTATTTCAGAGTTGCCAACTCTCCCGATTTTCGACCGCTCTCTCCGCCAACCCGATTTACAATATATTTCTCCCTGACTTTTTTCTTATTTCTTAAAATTTCGCACGATTTTTATGGAACATGGCTTAATACTTTTGTTATAAATGAACAAAAAAAAAAAAAAGTGATTTTGGACGTCTGGAAGCAATTGAATTTTTTCTAAATTATATCTAAAACAAAATCTTGCGAATTAGATAACTTAGATAACTTTCTAAGTGAGAGAGCATATACGTATCCAGAAACATCATTCTCAAGTTCTCCAATGGGCATTGTGCTCCACATTGCGTGTCATCTGGCATATATTATTAGCCAATGAGGACAAAGCAAGCTGTTATTTGGATGTTCTTTAGTTATTTCGGTCATTTTGTCCTGAGTTGTTTGAGTACACGTGCCTTAGGGAAATAGTTTTAGAAATATCATCTTTTGTTATGTCTGCCAGAAAGGTGAAATACTCGTGTACGTTTAAAAATCGTACACAGTTGACTTTCCCTTCCATTTTCCTCAAGGAAATGTAATAAATTTGTGATGTGTACTGCCTGTCGTTGCGATTTTTCGATTTGCATGGTGGAAAGGCGGATGTTCTCAACATTGCCGTACACAAAAACACAAGGACAACATGAGTTGTGTTGAAAAAAACGAAAAATAAAATTTTTCTTCGGAAACAGAGGACCAAAAAGTTGCTAATGCAGAATGTCTGCTGATGGAATTTTAAAATTTGAGCTGTCTAGAATTATGTTGGCCATCTTAACAGTTCCCCATAATAATGCAGAGTGAGAAAATTTTCAGTATTGTTGCTAAAACCAGGACTAAATTTAGATCTAATATTAGTGATGACACATTAGAAAAGCTTTTATTAGCGAAAGCAGGCCTACGTGGCAATTACTACGAACAAAATAATGAAGTTTCTTAAAGAAAGCAAAATCTGCCACTGTTTATAACATTTATACGAAAGCTGATTAAAGTGGTTTTCTTTTTTCTTAATCGATGCAAGTAATAAAATTGTTTTTTATGTGTAAGGTATTTTTGTGTTGCTTGCATTTAAGAATTAGTTACTATTTAAAGTTAATTCATTATTAAAAACTATATTTTCATCATTTAAAAAGTCTTTTTAACATTGTGAAAAATCTCCCGATTTCTTAAAAAAATCTCCTGATTTTTGAGTGTCATAGGTTGGCAAGTATGCTATTTTTAGACTATGCAGAAATTCCTTCCATTCTTCAAAGTTATTTTTAGGAAGAGGTGTATTCCAATTTAATTTTAGAAGCTAAAAGTTCTGTAGAAATATTTTAAGCTTTTGTTGTTAATAGGTCCAATTAAATCTAACGGATCAAAGAGGACGACCTTATTGTTGATAAGACATCTCTTTTCACTCCTGTTTCTTCAATGTCAGGTATCTTTAAACCGTAAGAAAAACAGTTCTGTAGACGTATTCCATGACATTACCTAAGGTCTTTGTAATCTGAGGATTATCCGCAACTTGAAAGGAGTAAATCCTGAGTTGCACTTCTTTATTCTTCAATAATTCTGCATTATTTGAACACCATTTGTGTAACTGCATTCCACCATGTTCTAGAAGACAGGTTAACTGTGCCTGCAACTCCTTGGCTTCTTGCAGCATATTAGCTCCAGTGATAATGTCGTCCACATAACAGTCCTTCAGTATGCCTCTTGAGGCATGAGGAAAGTCTGTCACTTCATCCATTGCTAACTGCTTCAGGACCCTTGTTGCAAGGAATGGTGCACTTGCTGTTCTGTATGTTACAGTCCTTAGACGGTAAGTCTGCACAGGACTACCAACTGATTCCTTCCACAAGATCAACTGCAGGTTTCGTTGAGATGGTTGAATAAGTATTTGTCTGTACATCTTCTGAACATCAGCTCCTAATGCATAGTTGTACTTTCGAAATCTAATAATAATAGAAATAAATCTTCTTGAGGTATTCGCCCTTTCATTAATTGAGTTCAGTGACTTTCCATTACTAGTAGCTGCAGATGCATTAAACACAACGCGAAGCTTGGTAGAGGCTTTCTCTGGCCGATAAACTTCATGATGACTAAGATAATTGCAAGTCGATGTTTCAATTTCTTGAACTTCTTCCATGTGATTTAGATCCTTATATTCCTTAATAAAATTCTTATATAATGTTTTCATATTCTAATCACTTTCTAGTTGATTCCACACTTGATGCAATCTTTTCTCAGCCAGCGTTTTCGATTCTCCTAATTCTACGCCTTCCCTTATGGGTAACTGAACTACATATCTTCCATCATTTTGTCTATAGTGAGTACGCTTGAAATGTTCTTCACAGTATTTTTCTTCTTCACTCAAAGCATCCTCGATATTTTCAATGGATTCAACTTCCCAAAATCTTTGCAAAATTTCTTCAACCTCTTTCTTCTTCACTATTTAGAACTAAACCACAATAATTTACTTCTGAGTTACTCTTGCATGCACCAGACGCGATATATCCAAAAACTGTTTCTTGAATATCAAAACGGTTGATTTTTCTAATTGAAATTTTCCTTGTTTTAAAATCTCAAAAACACATTCGGCCCCCTAGTAACATATCTATTTTGTTAGGTGTTCCAAATTGCGGATCCGCCTAATTCAATATCAATGGGAATATTTAATGACTGCACATCTAAACACCTTGATGGAGTTACATTGGTTATTTTAGAAATAACCAAAGCAATTAACTGATATCTTGCATATGTTAAATCCTTATTCGAAATCTGTACATCTAGTTGGTAATTAAATTTATAACGTTCTCATTAATTCCGGATACAGATGCATAAATTCTTTCTTTCCTTATATTTAACAAATTAGCAACTCCTTCACACAGGAAACAACTCATGCTGCCGTTATCAAGTATTGCACGAACTGGGATTCTTTTTCCTTCCGAATTGCAAATATATATTATTGCAGTCGCCAATAAGACGTTTTTTCTGCGTGTCAAAAGCAGGGTTCGTACGGTCCTTAAAAGTCCTTAATT